ACGTGGCCACCAACCTGGAGCTGCAGGAGGGGCCCGGGAACACCGCTGGGAACTGCAGCGGGTGAGGAACCGCAGGGGAAACCGGGAGTGGAAACCGGAAAACCAGGATGGGACACTGGGATGGGAAACCAAGATACAGGATGGGAAACCGGGAGGGGCACCAGGATGGGGCAACAGGATGGGAAACTGGGATGGAAAACCAGGAGGGGGCACTAGGATGGGATACTGGGATGTGGCACTGGGTTGGGACACTGAGATGGGACACTGGGATGGGGCACCAGGCACCAGGATGAGACACCCAGATGGGGCACTGGGGTGGGAAACCAGGATATGGAATGTGGCACTGGGATGGGCACTGGGATGGGAAACCGGGCACTGAGATGGGGCAACAGGAGGAAACCAGGAGGGGGGCACCAGGATGTGACACTGGGATGGCGCACTGGGGTGCGAAACCAGGATGTGGCACTGGGATGTGGCACCCATGGGAGTCCCCACAGCACTCAAGGGGGTCCTCCTGGTTGCACCAACAGCCTCTGAACCCTCCCAGTTGTCCCAACACCCACCAACCCCTCTCAGTTCCACCAACAACCCCCAAACCTCTCAGTTGTAACAACCCCCAAACACTCCAGTTGTACCAACAACCCCCAAACCTCCCGGTTTGTCCCAACCTCCACTCACCCCACCCCCCGTGTCCCCCACCCCCACCCACCCCTGCTCCCCAGGGGCCCTCCTGGCTGGTCCCACCCCCCCATTCCTATCTGGAATGGCCGCAGGACCCTCTGGGGCTGTGTCCCCCCCCAGGTCAACATGGGTGCCCCGGGGGGACTACGTGGCCTCGAACACGGACGAGTGCACGGCCACGCTCATGTTCGCCGTGAGCCTCAAGCAGGCGGGGACCGTCACCTTCGAGTACCTGTACCCCGACAGCAGCATCGTCTTCGAGTTCTTCGTGGGTGCCAGGGGATCACCTGGGCACCTCAGGGGGTGCCTGGGGCCGTGGAAGGGGGCCCTGGGGGTGTGGGAGGGCGTCTTGGGACAAAGGAGGGGTGTCTTGGAACAGGGGAGGGGGCTCGGGAAGTGGGAGGGGTCTCGAGACATGGAGGGGTATTTTGGGACAGGGGAGCGGTGTTTGGGGACATGGGAGGGGCCTGAGGGACAGGGGAGGGGTTCTTGGTGACCTGAGGGTCACCTGAGGGGTTGCCTGGGACCGTGTCAGGGGTCCCTGGGGACACGGTGGAGGATCCTGGGGACGTGGAGGGGTCTCTTGAGACAGGGGAGGGGCCCTGGGGATCTGAGATCACCTGATGAGGGTTGCCTGGGGCCATGTCAGGGGTCCCTGGGGGCGTGGGAGGGGTCTTTTCGGACATGGCAGTGGTCCCTGGGGACATGAAGAGGTCTCTTGGGACACGGGAGGGGCCCTGAGGACACAGGGAGATTCCCTGGGGAGGGGGGGATCTCTGGGGATGAGGGGGGGGTCCCTGGGGACGGGAGGGTCCGTGGGGACAGGGGGTCCCTGACCCCACCCCCGCAGGTGCAGAATGACCAGTGCCAGCCCACGGTGGAGGAATCCCGGTGGATGAGAACGACGGAGAAGGGCTGGGAATTCCACAGCGTGAGTGAGGGAGGGGACCCCGGGGGTCCCGGCCCCTCGCCTGGGGACAAGGTGCTCCCTGAGGAGCAAAGGGGGCGGGGGGTGATGGCAGAGAAGGGACTATGCGCCTCCCCACTGTGCCAACCCCCCCCCCCACGGGACCCCCCCCCCCCCCGCTGGTCCAAACCCCTTTCCTGGCACTGGGACCACCCCCTGCGGTGCCCGCCCCTTCCCAGCAGCAGGACCCCCCCACCTGTGGTGCCAACCCCCTCCCCAAAAGCAGGGCCCCCCCATTCTCGGTGCCACCCTCGTACCTGGGAGCAGGACCCCCACACACACCCCACGGTGCCAACTTCCCCGCGGCAACAGGACCCCCCCCGTGGTGCCAACCCCTTCCCGGCAGCAGGACCCCCCATCCCTATTTCCAACCCCTTCCCTGGCCGTGGGACTCCCCCATCCCTGGTGCCAACCCCCCACCCATGATCCCAACCCCTTCCCTGGCCGTGGGACCCCCCACCCATGGCCTCAACCCCCTCCAGCAGTGGGACCCCACCCACCCATAGTCCCCACCCCCTCCCTGGCAGCGGGACCCCCCTGCGGTGCCGACACCCTCCCCGGCCGCGGCCCCCCCCGATCGAGCGGGCTCCCCGTTTCCCAGGTGGAGCTGAGCCGCGGGAACAACGTGCTGTACTGGCGCACCACCGCCTTCTCCGTGTGGTCCAAGGCGCCCAAACCGGTGCTGGTGAGGAACATCGGCATCACAGGTGGGTGGGGGCGGGCAGGGAGGGGCCCGGGAGGGTCCCGCGCCCCCCTCCCCGCCCCCCCTGAGCCCCCTGCCCTCCCCAGGGGTCGCGTTCACCTCCGAGTGCTTCCCCTGCAAGCCCGGCACGTTCGCCCCCGCGCCCGGTGCCGCCTCCTGCCAGCCCTGCCCCGCCGACACCTTCTCCGGGAAAGGGGCCACCGCCTGCCAGCCCTGCGAGCCCGACTCCTACGCCGGTGAGGGGGGACACCCCGGAGTGTCCGCGCCCGCGGGGGGCGGCTTTGGGGGGCCCCTTGTCCTCCCGGTCTGGGATGGGAGAGGTGATGGGGGGAGCAGGGGGGACCCGACATTCTGTGGAGGGGACAGGGTTGGGATCCCCTTGTCAGCCTGATGTTTACACTGCTGAGAGTGGACCCCTGGGGGTCCCCACACGCGGAGGTGGCAGCTCTGGGGGTCCCCTTGTCCCCCCCACTCTGTGCCCTGGGGAAGGGAGAGGTGATGTGGGGGAACAGGGGGGACCTGCCGTCCCACGGTGGGGACAGGGTTGGGGTCCCTTTGCAAGCCCAACATCTGCACTGGGGAGAGGGGACATTTGGGGGTCCCCACACCCGGAGGTGGCAGCTTTAGGGGTCCCTTTGTCCCCCCCAGTCCGTGCCCCAGGGGGAGAGAGAGATGATGTGGGGAGCAGGGAGGACCCGACATCCCGTGGTGGGTTGGTGTCCCCTCACGACCGACACCTCTGCTGGGAAGAGGGGACACCCGGGAGTCCCCACACCAGACCTGGTGGCCTTGGGGGTCCCCTTGTCCCCCCACGTTGTGCTGTGGGGCTGTCCCTGGGGAAGGTGATGCAGGGGACAGGGAGGACCCGGTGTCCCTTGACTGGGAGGGGGGACACGGACCCCCCCGTGTTGGGGACAGTGTTGAGGTCCCCCGGCCCCTCACCCCCGTGTCCCTCCCCCCGGCAGAGCCTGGCTCGGGGTCCTGCAAACCGCGTCCCCCCTGCACGGACAAGGATTTCTTCTACACCCACACGGCCTGTGACGCCGGCGGGGAGGTACCGCCGGGACCCCCGGGGCGGCCCCCCCCGTCCCCTGCGGGTGTCCCCTGCGGGTGTCCCCCCCCTCACGCGCTGCCCCGGCAGACGCAGCTGATGTACAAGTGGGCAGAGCCCAAGATCTGCAGCGAGGAGCTGCCGCGGGCGACCCGGCTGCCGCCCTCGGGGGGCAGGTCGCGGTGCCCCCCCTGCAACCCCGGCTTTGCCAAGGGCGCCGGGGGCTCCTGCCAGCCCTGTCCCCGCGGCTCCTTCTCCAACGGCTCCGGTAAGGCCGCCCCGGAGCGTCCCCGGGGGGCAACAGGGACACCCCGAGCTGCCGGCGGGAGGGGAGTGCCGTCCTGGGGGCAGGGCTGTCCTCTCCTGTCCCCATCATTGTCCCTAGTGGGGGTTACCGGGGCACCCCGAGCTGCCGGGGGGAAGGTGGGGGTGTCACCCCAGTGCAGGGCTGTCCCCTCCTGTCCCCATCACTGTCCCCCAGGTGGGTTACCGGGGCACCCCGAACTGCCGGGGGGGAAGGTGGGTGCACCCCAGGGTGGGGTTGTCCCCTCCCGTCCCCATAGCTCCGCTAAGGATATCCCTGTCATTGTCCTCAAGGGGCGACCAGGGTCCCCAGAGCTGCCAGGGGGAAGGGGCTGTCCCCTCCTGTCTCTATAATTGTCCCCAAGGGATGACCGGGATCCCTAGAGCTGCCGGGGGGGAGGTGGGGGTGCCACCCCGGTGCAGGGCTGTCCCCTCGTGTCCCCAGCCTGCTTGTCGTGCCCGCCGGGCACGGAGCCCGCGCTGGGCCTGGAGTACAAGTGGTGGAACGTGCTGCCCCCCAACATGGAGACCACCGTGCTCAGCGGCATCAGCTTCGAGTACAAGGGCGTCGCAGGTACAGGGGGCCGTCCCCTCCCTGCCCCCTCCCTGTTCCCTCTCCGGGCACAGCCGGGGCCCCACAAGCGCCGCCGTGTCCCCGCAGGCTGGGAGGTAGCCGGGGACTTCATCTACACGGCGGCCGGAGCCTCCGACAGCGACTTCATGATCCTCACACTGGTGGTGCCGGGCTTCAGGTGAGGGGGTGTCCCTGCGGCCGGGGGGTGCGGCCGTGCGACGGGGCTGGCAGTGTCCCCACACTGTCCCCACGCTGTGCCCAGCCCTCCCAGCCCGGTGCTGGAGGACACAGAGAGCCGGGAGGTGGGAAGGATCACCTTCGTGTTCGAGACTGTCTGCAGCGTGGGCTGCGAGCTCTACTTCATGGTGGTGAGTGGGGACACTTTGGGGGGTCACCCCGGGTTTGGGGGGGTCACTGCTGTCACAGTGTCCCCATTCATGGTGGTGAGCGGGGGGACACGTATTTAGGGGGATCACATTGGGTTTGGGGGGGACACTGTAACAGTGGTGTCCCCAAAGTGAAACACCCTGGGGACGTGTCCCTCCCTCCCAGCAGGAGATGGGGGGTCACCCTGGGGGTCCCCAAACTCGGGGTCCCCACTGCCCCTCCCCCAAACCTGGGCACAGCCAGGGTGACACCCCAAAGTTGAGGACACTGTGACAGTGATGTCCCCAAAGTGAAACACGCTGGGGATCAGCCCCTCCCTGCCAGCAGGAGAGGTTTGGGGCACCTTGGGGGTCCCCAGAGCCCCTCCTCGGGGTCCCCAGTGTCCCTGCCAGCAGAGAGCCTTTGGGACATGCAGGGGACACTGTTGCTGTCCCCGCAGGGTGTGAACTCCCGCGCCACCAGCCCGGTGGAGACCTGGAGGGGCTCCACGGGCCGACGGTCCTACACGTACGTGGTGCAGCACAATGGCACCCTGAGCTTCACTTGGGCCTTCCAGCGCACCCCCTACCACCAGCCGGTGAGGGCTGGGCAGGGGGTCCCCTCATCCCTTTGGGGGGTCCCAGGGTGTCCCCCCTTCCCTTGGGGAGGGCCTGGGGGGGGGGTCCCATCTTCCTTAGAGGGTTTCCTGGGGTGTCTCCTCTTCCCTTTGGGGGGGTCCCCTCTTCCCTTTGAGGGTCCCAGAGGGACCCTTTTCTGGGAGTCCCAGGGGTGTGCCCTCGTCTCTTTGGAAGTCCCAGGAGTGTCCTCTTCTCCCTTCTGGGACATTGTGAAGGCCAAGGGAATCCCCAAACGGTGGGAATTACTGCCCTTTTCCCTGTTGCCATCCACTGGGACACTCCCACCCAGGGGTCACTCCTGCCCAGAGGACACTCCAGGGGACACTCCAGGGGACACTCCTGCCCTGGTGATACTCGTGTCTCCCGCAGGGCCGGCGCTACACGGGTGATGTGGCCAAGCTGTACAGCATCAATGTCACCAACGTGCTGGGGGGGGTGGCCTCCTTCTGCCGCCGCTGTGCCCCTCAGCCCACAGGCCCCTGTGCCCCCTGCCCCCCCGGCAGTGCCCTGGACCCCACGGGGACCTGCCAGCCCTGCCCCCCCGGCACTGTCCTGCGGGGACCCCCCTCGGGAGGGACCCCCTCGTGCCACCCCTGCGGGCCTGGCACTCGCAGCAACCAGGTGGGTGTCCCCAATGGTCCCCCGGGGGTGGTACTGGGCAGTTCCAGGAGGGTGACACCGTCATGGGTGGGTGGCACCAGGTCCCCCAACTGTCCTGGGTGGGTGACACTGCCTGGGTGGTGATGTCAGCCCCCCTCAGCTGTTCCCAGGGAGGTGAAAGTGTCTGACCCTGGGTGGGTGACATCAGCCCCTCCCGGCCATCCCGGGTGGGTGACAGGGTGGGTGACACTAGCTCCCTCGGCCATCCTAGGTGGGTGACACTGCCTGGATGAGTGATGCCAATCCCCAGCTGTCCCCAGGGAGGTGACACCAGCCCCCCGGCCATCCCAGGGAGGTGACAGGGTGGGTGACATCAGCTCCCCTGTACATCCCAGGGGGGTGACAGGGTGAGTGTGGGGTGGGTGACCCTGAGTGGGTGACATTTTATGACCCCAGTGGGTGACACCACATGTCCCCTGTCCCTGAGGGGCAGTGCCAGCTTCCTGTGGTGCCCACAGGGGTGTCCCTGGTGGGTGCCACATCCATCCCTGAGCCCCCTCTCCTTGTCCCTGTCCCTCTGTCCCTGACCACTATCCCTGTCTTTGACCCCTTGTCCCTATGTCCCTCTCCCTTGTCCCTGTGCTCCTTTCCCTGTCCCCATCCTGGTCCCTGACCGTGTCCTTGTCCCCAGCTGCGCTCCTTGTGCTACAACAACTGCAGTCTGTCCCTGTCCCTGCCTGGCCGGACGCTGCTCTATGAGTTCCCTGCGCTGGGCATGGGGCTGGGAGTGGGCACTGGGCCCAGCTTCACCCCCAAGGGGCGGCGCTACAGCCACCGCTTCCAGCTCAGCCCCTGCGGCCACCAGGTGAGGCACAGCTGGGACACGGCTGGGCATGTGGGACAGGGGGCACAGAGAGAGGAGCACGGGAACACCCGTGTGCACACATGGGAACACAGAGAGAGAGGCACAGGAACAGTCGTGTGCACACATGGCAACACGCCTGAGCACATGGGAGGGTGGCCACGGGCACACGGGTACACACCTGGGAACACAGAGAGGAGGGCACGGGAACACACATGTTCACACATGGGAACACGCCTGGGCATGCGGGAGGGTGGCTGCCCTGTGTGCCCTGTGTGTGCCCCGTGTGTACCAGGTGTGTGCTGCGCGTGTGCCCCACGTGTGCCAGCTGTGTGCCAGGCGTGCCGCGTGTGCCAGGCGTGCTGTGTGTCCCCAGGGCAGGAAGAAGGCCTCGTGTGCTGACTCGGTGCCGCAGGGCCGGGGGGGGGGCCCCCGGCCGCCGGGTGACATCCTACGTGTGCCAGGCCATCGTTGTGCCCCCCGACAGCGCCGGGGCCCGCGGGGCTGTGTCCTCCCAGCCCGTGAGCCTGGGGGACACCCTGCTGGGTGAGAGACACCGGGAATGGGACATCGGGAATGGGAATGGGACACCCTGCTGGGTGAGAGATACTGGGAATGGGATACCAGGAACAGCATATTGGGAATGGGACACCCTGCTGGCTGTGGGACCGGGAATGGGACACTG